GCAACCGGCTATAAATGTGTTTTAAATTTGTGGGGAAATGCTTCTGCTACCCTAGTTAGTGAAAAAAAGCAGGATACAAAATTGCACAGGCAGTAGGATTTCAGCTATGCAAAACAAACTTGAAGTTAACAAAGAGAAAATGACTAGAAGATAATACACTGGGTGTTCACTGGGCTGACCGGCTCCCCTTTGAACCTCAAGTGAGTATAAGATGACCTGACACGACCTGACACGTCCCAGAAGGTTTGATTTTCACTTTCTGAAATCTCTTCTTTCCTTTACTCTTGAATGACTGGCAACTGCATTCTTCATTGAGAAAACAGAATTGGGCCAGGTCTCACACCTGTAATCTCAACACTTTGGGAGGTCAAGGTGGGTGGATCATTTGAGGTCAGGAGTTTGAGACCAGCCTGGCCAACATGGTGAAACCCCTGTCTATTAAAATACAAAGATTAGCTGGATGTTGTACTCAGGAGACTGAGGCAGGCGAATCGCTTGAACCTGGGAGGCAGAGGTTGCAGTGAGCTGAGATGGTGCCACAGCTCTCCAGACTGGGCAACAGAGTGAGACTCTGTCTCAAAAAAAAAAAAAAAAAATGCAGCCAGGTGAGGTGGCTCACGCCTGTAATCCCAGCACTTTGGGAGGCCAAGGCAAGCAGATCACAAGGTCAGGAGATCAAGACCATCCTGGCTAACATGGTGAAATCCTGTCTCTACTAAAAATACAAAAAATTAGCAAGCCATGATGGCATGCGCCTGCAGTCCCAGCTACTCAGGAGGCTGAGGCAGGAAAATCGCTTGAACCTGGGAGGTGGAGGTTGCAGTGAGCTGAGATTTCGTCACTGCACTCAGCCTGGGTGACAGAGCAAGACTCCTTCTCAAAAAAAAAAAAAAAAAAAAGCAAGGCCCTGACTAGGGGAGCGCCTCAGCTGGGCGTTGTGGCTCATGCCTATAACTTCGGGAATCTGAGGTGGGAGGATCAGTTGAGGCCAGGAATTTGAGACCATCCTGGCCAACATGGTGAAACCCTGTCTCTACTAAAAATACAAAAATAAGCTGGACGTGGCAGTGGGTGCCTGTAATCCCAGCTACTGGGGAGGCTGAGGCAGGAGAATTGCTTGAACCTGGGATGTAGAGGTTGCAGTGAGCCAAGATCATGCCACTGCACTCCAGCCTGGTGACAGAGCAAGACTCAGTCTCAAAAAAAAAGGTTATCTCTGGGGGAGGGACGAGGGGGTGGGGAGGTGGGAAGAGACAGCATGGGGAGAAATGACAGATACAGGTGAGGGGACGGAAGGCAGCAAACCACACTGCCATGTGTGTACCTATGCAACAATCTTGCATGTTCTTCACATGTACCCCAAAACCTAAAATGCAATTTAAAAAAAAAAAAAAGGTTATCTCCTCAGAGGCCTTCCTGAGTCCCCTACTTAAAGACTGATTATTCTAATTCTCCCATAGCCAGTTACTTGTTTTTTTCTAGATTTGTATAACGAAAAAGCAAAAAAAAAAAAATCCACTTTAGTTTAAAAGAATAAAAGCCACACCTCCTCTTGGAAGCTTTCCAGGAGTGAGTCTCCATTCAGTGTTCATCATGTTGGTCAATTTAGCAGCTTGAATGGGAGAAATGAAACCGTTTTTCCACTTGGGTAATCAGCATCTTCACTTCTTATGTTATATAATTCTTACAATCTAATGCTTCACTCTTTTTTGAGTAGAGCTTTCTACAGCACACACTGTGTGCCTGCGCTGGGCAGTTCACAGCCCAACAGAGTACCACAATAGGCTCTGGAATTGGGCAGCCCTGGGTTCAAGTCAGTCCCAGTCCTGCCACGTCCAAGCTATGTGACCTTGGTCACGCATTCCAGCTACCCAGTGCTACGTAACAAATGACCCCAAAACATAGTGGCTGAACACAACAATATTTATTTTGCAGTTTGGGCAGGGTTGGCGAGACAGCTCATTTCTGCTCCACTTGTCCACTGGGGCGGCTCCAAGCCTGAGGGCTGAATCATCTGCAGGCTCACTCTCTCACGGGTCTGGTGGTTGGTGGGGACCAGAGCTGGAGTTGCTGGCTAGACCACCTTCATACGATCTCTTCATAAGGCCTGGGAGTGGCCAGAATCAGAGAGAAGCAAGCTGGGAGGAATGACCTGACCTTGGAAGTCACAGACGAACACCTCTGTCATATTCTGTTGATTGAGGCAGTCACGAGATCTGCTGAGATTCAAGGTGCAGGCCTGCAGACCCTGCCACTCAACTGGAGGAGTGTCAATGTCACATTGTAAGAAGAGCAATTGGGATAAGATACTTTGTATACCCTTTGGAAAATATAATCAGCCACAGGAAGTATCTTCACCTTTTGGAGATCCTTTACTGAAATGTGGAGCACAGAGCCCAGCACACAGGGAGTGGCCACATGTCACACAGCTGCAGGGTGTGCTGGCAGCAGGGACGGTCACCCTGTCACCAATGTAGCCAGTTCTGGACTCTCAACAAGTCTCATCTCCTTTGTGGTATCCCTGGTCCGAACTGACCGTGAGTCCAGAGCCCCTACCTCGGCCCCACCCAGTCCCTCCCCACCAGGGCCCTTCTGTTCTCAAGGCTCCTGTGGGGCTGCGATGTAGATTCTTGGCTCGCCAAATCCAAAAGCCCTCAGAGAAGGTCTCCCCAAATCCAAAGACCCTCAGAGCAGGTGGGACTCACAGGCCCCTCCCTGGCCAGCCATGAGTGTTGGGGCCCAGAGAGGCTAGGTAGTAGAGCCAGGACTCAGATCCCCGCCCTAGTAGAGAGATGCAGGCCACTCTAATCTTGGGACCACTGGTGTGACCAAGGGTGTGTCAGGAGTGGCTGAGCCAGTGGTCTGCTGTGTCCCTTCATGGCTTCACACTACCCAACACCTCCAAGCCCATGTTCTGCATAGTGGGAGAAACTGAAGCACAGAGAATGGAATGCACTTTCCAAGAGCTTCACAGCATCTTTCTGTGCCAGACTAGATGCAGTCTACTAGAGCCAGGGGCATCTGAGCTGGACAGACTCTGTCATCTGTTACATTTGACTAGAGCAGCTGGGGATTCTGAGGCCCAGAAGGAAGGCCTGCCCTGGGTCACTAGCTTGAGGCTTCCACATCCTTCTCCAGCACTCCTGCCCCCATGCCATGCCATGCCACCCTGTTTGTGCTGAGTCTTTTGTGGTCCCCCTCCCCACACACACACAACACCATGTGCTCCATGAGGTCAGGCAATGACACGCCCACCACCGCATCCCTCAATGTACCTGGCGCCTGTGCAAACAGGGTTTGTGGACAGTCAGTGGGGGCGAGGGGAGCCGGTGTCTTGCCAGGAGGGGATGGGGATGCCCCTGCAGAAGTGTTTACCAAGAGCCTGTTGAGCGCCTGCTCCTCACCTGGCTGCAAGCGGGAACCTAGCCTGGGGGTGGAAGAGCACGCACACACCGGGATCCAGATGAAGTCAAGCCTCTGGAGCAGGCGTCCCCAAACTTTTTACACAGGGGGCCAGTTCACTGTCCCTCAGACCGTTGGAGGGCCGCCACATACTGTGCTCCTCTCACTGACCACCAGTGAAAGAGGTGCCCCTTCCTGAAGTTCGGCGGGGGGCCGGATAAATGGCCTCAGGGGGCCGCATGTGGCCCGCGGGCCGTAGTTTGGGGACGTCTGCTCTGGAGAGAGGGAATGCCCCAGGAGCGTATTCACTGCGTGTGGGGAGGTGGGACAAAGACAAAGCAGTGGACTTGGTGCCTTCGGTGTCACAGGCAGGTGCAGAGGTGAAGGAAGGGAACTAGGGAGGAGACAGAAGAGGGGAAAGAGGAGGGAAAGGAAGACTTGGAAAAGGAGGTGGGAAAGGAAGGGGAAGGTGGGAGAAGAAGGAAAAAAGAGCAGGGGATAAATGGGCGGGGGAGGAGACAGCAGGGGGAAGAAGAGGCTCCAGAGGGCAAAAAGAGCCCTGTCCTCTCGGTGGCAAGTGGTGGGGGGCACCCTGAGAACGAGGGTCCATCCGTGGGGCAAAGGACTCAGTCCACCTCTGCCCCGCGGTGGCTCAGGGATGGGGTATAGTGGCGAGGCAGCATGGCGGCTGGGGAAGGTGTGAGAGACACGGGAAAATCAACACGGCCAGGAGTCAAAGAGACGCCTGGGAGGAAAGAACACATGTCCCTAGAGCTCGGGTCCCCATGCGCTGCTCCTGGTGGGGACCTGTGGGGTCAGGACCACCGTCCCAGCCCATGCCAGCCCCCACCGGGGCCAAACTCGCCTTCCAAAGCATCCCTAGGCTGACACCTCGGAACGGGTCGCCTCCATTTTTGCCGTACACTGCCTGAAACCGGGGTCGGGGGCGCATGGGCAGGGATCCGGCCGGCCAAGGTGCGCTAGCCAGGCTTACACGCGGGGTTCCACAGTCCCTACGCCAGGGGAGGGAAGCCGAGGCAGGAGGACCCCGAGCGCGCCCGGGAGGTGTGAGCTTTAGTCCCGTCGGCGCTGCCTTGACCGTGAGCTCGGCGCGTGCACCCAGGCTTCAGGGTACGCATCTGTGCGATGGGATCGCGGCTCCGCCAGGGCCGGCCGAGTGGGCGGAGTTCGCGCAGGCTCGGCACCGGGCGAGGGGCGAGGCGCTCGGCGTGCATGGATGCGGGCTCCTGCGAACTGAGGTCCGCCCGGCCTCGGCTTGGGAGTCCCCGCTCCCGCCGCTCTCGCGGGCCCTGCCAGGACGCGGGGCGCAGGGGGGCCTCCGCCGGGTGCGTTCCTGGGGCGGGCAGGGGAGGAGGCGGCGGAGCGGAGGAGGAGGGAGGCCGGGCCGCGGCTGCCCGCGCCCGCCTGACCCTCGAGGGGGTCGCTGTTGCCTCGCAGATTCCTCCCTCGCTCCCTGCCTGCGTCCCTCCCCGCCGCTCCCGCCGCGTCCGCCTTTTGTTCGCGGAACCGCGCGCCCCCGAGCCGAGGCGGCGGGGCGGGGAGCTGGCGGGGCTGCGCGGGGGGCGGGCCGCGCCGGGCGGAGCCGGGGCCCGGGCCGCAGCCGGACTCGCAGCCCGAGGGAGCGATCGGCGTGCTGGCGGCGGGGTCCCGGGCGCGCTCCGGGGGCGCGGCGAGGCCGAGGGGGCGGGCGCCGGGCGGAGTCGCAGCCGGAGCCGGGGCGCCTGGAGGCGGTCGGGCCGCACTCTCCGAGCCCAGAGCTGCGGAGAGACCGCGCGGCGGGCCGTGGGGCGGGGACGCAGTGTCGAGGCCGAGGTGGGCCGAGAGCAGCCGCTGCCCGAGCGGCCAGAGCCGCAGCCGCGCCGGCTCCCTCCCCAGGGACGTCGAGGCCGGGCCGGCCTGGGCCATGCGCGCGGCTCTCTGAGGCCGACAGAGGCCGCGATGGAGGCGCCGGCGGCCGAGCCCCAGGTCCGGGGCTGTGGCCCCCAGCCCGCGTCCGCGCCCGCCCCGGAGAGGAGAAAGAGCCACCGCGCGCCGTCGCCGGCTCGGCCCAAAGACGTGGCCGGCTGGTCGCTGGCTAAGGGCCGCCGCGGCCCAGGCCCCGGCGCAGCCGTAGCCTGCAGCGCCGCGTCCTCCACACGGCCCGACAAGAAGGGGCGCGCGGTGGCGCCCGGGGCTCGGGGCGCAGGGGCGCGGGTGGCCGGGGTCCGCACCGGGGTCCGTGCCAAGGGTCGCCCGCGCCCGGGTGCGGGGCCGCGGCCGCCGCCGCCGCCCCCTAGCCTCACCGACAGCAGCTCGGAGGTGTCGGACTGCGCGTCGGAAGAGGCGCGCTTGCTGGGCCTGGAGCTGGCGCTGAGCAGCGACGCGGAGTCGGCGGCCGGGGGCTCGGCAGGGGTCCGCACGGGGCAACCGGGCCAGTCCGCGCCGTCCGCGCAGCAGCCCCCGCGCCCGCCCGCCTCCCCGGACGAACCGTCGGTGGCCGCGTCGTCGGTGGGCAGCAGCCGCCTGCCGCTCAGCGCCTCGCTCGCCTTCTCCGACCTCACCGAGGAGATGCTGGACTGCGGGCCCGGCGGCTTCGTGCGGGAGTTGGAGGAACTGCGCTCAGAGAACGACTATCTCAAGGTGGGGGCGCACAGGGAAAAAGGGAGGCCGAGGGGTGCACCGGCTGTCACAGCCCGGCAGGGCCTGGGGCACCAACCATCCCTTCTTCCCACCGAACTGTCTGGCGAAAGGGGCCCAAGTACTGTGGGGACCACCCTGAGGTGGATCTGGGGCTCCCGCATCCCCCACCCCCTACAACTTTATTTGGGAAGCGGGCTCCTGAAAAAGACCTTGAAACTGGCCACAGGGCCCTGACCTAGGAGCGGGGACTTGACAAAACGGCTAGGGAGGGTTCTGGGAGGCATTGCTGGAGTGGGGGTGGGTAGCCAGGGAAGGGATGGATCTCTGCCTTCAGCTGCCCAGAACCTCCACCCCCAGGCTCTCCTTCCTGGGACAGGCATTTGTGGGTACCCCCACCAGGGAAACCTATGGCCGTCCCCTGCCAAGAAGAGGCCTGCATGCAATCCTGAGTCGTTATCCAGGGCTCTCCCGGGCGCAGGCCTGTCCCCGCCTGCCTTTCAGGGCGGGTCCAGTTTGAAAGCATGACATCTGGGAACATCCCCTTGGCTGGAGTCCACTTCCGCCCAGCCTAACGGTCCCACAGCCTGGAGGATGATGTGGGAAAACCGGTTCAGTGGCAGCTTCTTTGATCCCAGGACAGTGTCTTTTGCTTTCCCTGGGGCAGACCTTGTGCCCCAGCAGCCCCATCGGCCCCTCATGGCCAGTGCCTTTCCATGTTCCCAGTGGGAGGAGGGAAGCTGCCCACCTGGAAGGGGCCTTCCCTGTGGCCATGTGGGGACCCCGGGGCTTCCCCGGGACAGCAGGTTTTGCCTTTGCCTTTTCAGTGGATGTGAGCACCTACTGGGCTCCATCTGCATGCTTCTCGGTGCCATGGCAGCTTTCGGGACAACGCAGCTCACACGTGTTGACCTCTGCCTGGGAGGCTAGAAGCTTCCTGAGCTCTCCTGCTGCTGGCGAGCAGGTTTTGGAGGAGGCTGAAATGTTGCCCACTCTTGTCACTGGATGGCCTGGTGCAATACCTGGAGTGCCCCTGGCCGAGACCAAGGAGCTTACAGCACGCTGCTGATTTATGACTGCTCTGCAGCACTTAGCTTTTAACTTTTCCTTGTGGCTCTTTTGGCCAAATGGGCTTCTCTCTCTTTAGAGTGTTGATGTCTTGCTCAGCTGTGTCTCTGTCTCCCTATTTTCCCCAGAAGCTGCTCTCTAGCATGAGTTCTGGAGATGCTTGTAGTATGGAAGGACTAGATCTGTCTGAATCAAGAGACTACCCATCAGCCTCACTATTCCCCAAGCCAGGCCTCAACCTCCTCATCTGTTAAATGGGAGGATGTCTTCCCAAGGGCCCTGTTCAGTGTTGGCAACTGGGTGTTCAGTCGGCTCTCAGAGTTGTTAGAAGGCGGTGGGGAGGAGGAGGAGGAGGCAGGCGACGAGCCAGAACAAGGATCTTTTGCTCCTGCCCTCTTGGTGCTCTCAGCTGCTTCCAGTGAGTGCTGCCTGAGTTGCCCTAAACTGAAACCCTGAGCTCCTCACCCCTGCCTTGTGGCCCCTGCTGCCCACCCTGGTGTGGGAAGATGGGATGCAGAGCTTTGCTTCTGGGCTCCTAGGCAGCCATCCCATGGGCTCCTGTCCATCCCAGGAAGTCATCAGGCTCTGACCCAAAGCCTATTTGAGGCACCCATGACTGTTTAAAGGGGAAAACAGTCCCAGGAGGCCGGGGGTTGAACTCAGGGTCTCACAGGGGCCAGGGCCCAGCTGGGGACATCCCACGGTCTGGGCCAGCACGGAGCCTTAATTTCCACCATTCATTCAGCAGCTCAGGCCTCGTGCTGCTGTTGGATCTGGGGTCTGTCGCTTCCTGACTGTGTGATCTTTGGCAAGTGATTTAACGGCCCTGGACCTTTGCTTTCTCATTTGTAAAAATGGGATAGTTACACGCTTTCCAACCTTAAGGGTTAAGTGAGTCGATACTGCAAATGCCATTAGAACACCTGGCATGTAGTAAACCTCAGGTGACGTAGCTCTGCTCACTGCTCTTCTCAGTAGCATGGGACACGTTGCCATATGCACCCAGCCTATTCCCTTGTGGGTTCTGTGAGGGCGGAATAGATCCTCTTCGTCACCCAAGGCAGGCTGGGCTCTTTCTCCCGGCCCATCATTGGTTCATTCACCAGCTGCTTTTTTTTTTTTTTTTTTTTTTTTTTGAGACGGAGTTTCGCTCTTGTTACCCAGGCTGGAGTGCAATGGCACGATCTCGGCTCACCGCAACCTCCGCCTCCTGGGTTCAAGCAATTCTCCTGCCTCAGCCTCCTGAGTAGCTGAGATTACAGGCACGTGCCACCATGCCCAGCTAATGTTTTGTATTTTTAGTAGAGACGGGGTTTCACCATGTTCACCACGATGGTCTCGATCTCTCGACCTCGTGATCCACCCGCCTCTGCCTCCCAAAATGCTGGGATTACAGGCTTGAGCCACCGCGCCCGGCCCATTCACCAGCTGTTTATTTAGAACCTGCTGTGTGCTAGGGCAGATCTGGGATACAAGGAGATACAGCAGTGGACAAGGGAGGGTGAAGTGTCTGTTTTCATAGAGCTTTGAGGGAGACCAGAATTAAACAATAGTCATGCAAGAGATCACAACACAGATCATAATGAGGGTAAAGGGGACAGTTTGCCAGGAGCACACGAAGGCGGGGGCTGGGTGCGCAGGGAGGCCAAGAGCCATAGGATGCCATGGAGCCACCTGAGCGAGGGGCTAAGAACATTTCGGGTTAAGGGAAACTGGAAAGAGCTCGATGAGTTCAAGAACGGCACCGAGGCCAGAATGAGGAAGGAGTGTGGGTAAGAGAGGAGAGCAAGGCCAGCCCATGCCACTTCTTGTTGTGTACGTTTGGGTTGCCCCTGAACTTCTCTGGAAATCTCTTTATCACAGCTGTCAACCTCACAGAGGCAGGGGCAAAATCTAGAGACTGAATGTGGACCATAAGTAGAGGGGTTATTACAGGAGGTGTTGTTTTGTCTAATCCACAGATGGGAAAACTATGGCCACGGTTGGGAAGAGACTTGCTCCAGGTCCCAGAGCCGGGTGTCTAGGCTGCCAGGGCTTTGGAATGAGCATGTGTTAGACTCTTGATGTGTTTCTGCCTTTCTGGATTGCTTTGCCTCTAAGATGCAGAAACTGAGTAGTAACAAGGGAAAGGATTCCAAATCCCCAGTATGTCCCCTGCAGGAACACAGTGGAAGGAGGTCCCACCACATCTGGTGGGTGGCCCAGCTCAAGCTTACCTCCCCCTGGTAAGGGGCACTGCGAACTGTCAACTGGGAAGGACTCTCGGGTGATCTCCAGTCTAGTGTGGCCTGCTCTGGGGCCCAAGTGAGGAAAGCATAAATCAGGCATCTCTCTCCTGGTGAGAAGATAGAAGGAGACTGGGCACAGTGGCTCACGCCTGTAATCTCAGCACTTTGGGAGGCCAAGGTGGGTGGATCACGAGGTCAGGAGTTTGAGACCAGCCTCACCAACATGATGAAACCCCATCTTTACTAAAAATAGAAAAATGAGCCAGGCGTAGTGGTGCACACCTGTAGTCCCAGCTACTTAGGAGGCTGAGGCAGGAGAATCGCTTGAACTTGGGAGGTGGAGGCTGCAGAGAGCCAAGATCGCACCACTGCATTCCATCCTAGGCAACAAAGAGAGACGCCATCTCAAAAAAAAATAAATAAATAAAAGAAGGAGCTTCTGCAGAGAAGGTAGTGAGCTCACTGTCACTTTAATTATTCAGAGAGAGGCTAGATGACCTTGCATGCTTGAATAAAGATAGAGGGTTTGTGGAATGATTGAGGAGGGTTCACAGGAGATTGATGTGATGGCTGCAGTTGAGCTGCCTGACCTTGGGTCCCTTCTAGCCAAGGAAGTCTGAAGATTATTAACTATGGAGGTTCCAGGATTCTAAGATCCACCTTTAGCTGCAGAGCAGACACATCACCTGTGACCTTCAAAGACCTGGTGATCTGAGGTCTTCCAGCCTTTCATCACCACTAACCATTAAGCACATACCATGTGGCCAGGACACGTAGGAACCCACTGGGTGTGGATGGAGGGATCTGAGAGCTGGAGCCTGAAGACCTGACTTTGAGACCTGACTCTTGTTTATCATGTGGCCATGGGCAAGTTACGTGGCTTCTCTGAGCTGCTTTTTTCCTCATCTGTATAATAAAGGTGATGGGGCCAGGCACGGTGGCTCACACCTGTAATCCTAACACTTTGGGAAGCTGAGGTGGGCGGATCATCTGAGATCAGGAGTTTGAGACCAGCCTGGCCAACATGACGAAACCTCATCTCTACTGAAAATACAAAAATTAGCCAGGCATGGTGGCAGGCACCTGTAATCCTAGCTACTTGGGAGGCTGAGGCAGGAGAATCTCTTGAATCTGGGAGGCAGAGGTTGCAGTGAGCTGAGATCGCGCCACTGCACTCCAGCCTGGCCAACAGGGTGAAACCCTGTCTCAAAGTAAATAAATAAAGTGATGGAAGCTGCCTGGACAGTCTCATACAGTTGTCACCAGGAATCTGGGAAGTATGAATAGACAAGGAAACATTTTGCAAGCAGTGAAATCCTGAGTTGCCTGAGGAATTGCTATTATTCCTAGCCAGTGGGCAGACAGGATGTCTGTGTCTTCATTCGTGGAGGAACTGGGAGAATGCAGGAGGGTGGGTTTCCTTAGTTTTAGAATGTTAATAGGTCAGTAGCTGTCTAGGGAGGACAGGAAAGTGTGATCACCTTCCCTGCCATGTGTGGGTTCTGGGAGGCCAGGCCTCCCTACCTCCTAGGTGATTCTAGATGTGAGTGTTTGAAGTGCAGCCAGTCTAGGTGTCAGCCCAGAAGAATCTGGAGGAAGCACCTAATCCATCCCTGCTTGCCATTTTATAGATCAGTAAACGGAGGCTCTGAGTTACATAGGCAGGATTCCAACCCAGGTTGGTCTAACTCTGGGTCCTGTTCTTTC